ACAGTGTGCATTTCAAGGCTCCAGACGATTATCTAAGAAATAAAATGGCGGAGATAGCAGGCATTCTATGAGACCCTCTGTCCGAAAAGGTGTTCCAGATATGTTCGCCCAAAGATAGTAGAAAGAATTCAACCGCCCTTTAAACTGAATCCAGAGGTGGAGAAAATGAATAAACTCGAAAACTAATTAATTAACTGATTATTTAAAAAAAAGTTAAAATAACGTTGGCCTAACAACCGGCTAAACACCAACTCTTCTGCCTTACCCCCATCCTTTATCGTAGTGTGGCCCTACTGCGGGAAATGCGTTAGTTTACGAATTAAAGATACCGGGACGGTTGGCCGCCAGAGTGGACAGCTGCATGCCATTCGCCTGAAAAATTCAACGCACCCCATCCGTCTCTGCTTGGGACAGCTGTTAGGCTGGCTTACGGATCTATCCATCTTACAATCGCGGGATGACCTCGAGTGGAGTGGTGTGTAAACACACAAGTAGAAGGTGGGAGGATTGTCGGCTTGTCTGTATTCATGAAGTTCATAGAGAGCTGTCAACAGCAGAGCGACTTGTTACTTTGACGAGTTGTAACTCGGCCCTGAGGATGGTCAACTAAACAACGGTCCGAGGGTGGAAATTATCATGAATAGTGTGGCAGACGCAGGACTAGGCACGTTCAAAAAGTTCTCCCTTTTCCCCAGATCAAGTTGCGAAAACAAAGCCAAACCAGCGCTGTTAAAATGGTGATATTGAGAAGACTTGATTTTACTCTAAACTTCACTGCACTATACATCCGAAAGACAGTTTTCCCATCTAGATTGGAGCACAGTTTCGGTCATGTCTCATCTTCTCATCGAGTCGTGGCTGTGTGAACTCGAAGACGAGCAAGCAATTTTCTTCGGTCGTCACCACACGACCATGGAGTCCCGTTGAGATGCAATATCAGCACGTCAAGTAGGCCTTGCTCAACTCAAATATGTGATTGGGACGTTTATGTGACGGGCAATCGTGAGTTTGCCGCCGAACTCAAGACTCTGCTGAAGTGTGGTCGCGGCACCCATTTGCTGGCCGTCTTCAGGTTTTCGATGGCGACCAGTGACGAACAGAATGGCAATAATAATTCTGATAATTTCAATGCTGGCAAAAAGAAGGCTTATAAGTTGTATTCAGCCTATTTCGTTTAAAGTGATGAAAGACTGGTAGTTGATTTTTCCCACAATGATATGAGTAGAGCTGACGTTTCCATCCGATTTCACACACAGCCTTGCCTCCCCAAAAGGTGTTCTTATCCCGAGTCGACTGCAGTTTCGATCTCGCATGGGTCTTAGCCACACCCCAAGCGGGAGTCGAACCATGACAGACAGTGCAGCGTGTAAGCTCGTCGTCGTTTGCTTCATCGACAATCCCAACACAGAATGCGATATGGAAAATACCTGACATTCGTTGACATTCACATCTGCCTTGTGACACAACGGGACTAGTGGCGATGTGGCGTAGTGGTTGATTTATCGAGTTTACACGCTGCACTGCCATGATTCGACTCCCGCTTGGGGTGTTGATAAGACCTATGGGGAAGCAAGGCTGTGTGAAATTCGATGGAAACGCCAGCTCTACTCATATCATAGTGGGGAAAAACAACTATCAGTCCTTCATCACCTTAGACGAAATAGAGTGAATACAACTTATATGTGTGATTTAATAGTAGTCTCGAA